CCACAGTAGTTGATCGTTTTTTCTGCCAGTTCTCTTCAACAACAGCCATCGTTGTTTTTCTTGGTCTTTGCAGTTTTATTCGTTACAGCAATGTTTCGAGTTCTTCTCTTGACAAAAGCGAAACAGGAATAACAATAAGAGGAAGTGCTACCGCTGGACAAGTGGCCGTTGGTGTTACTGCTTGTCACACAACAACATGATCTGTTGTGTGTCACGCAGAAACCTGCAGTCTCACGTCCGTCGATGACAAGTCATATACAACAATCTCGCCCAAAATCCTGCATTGGAAAACAGCAAACCATACCCTTGCTTGCACACATTTTCGTCAAGATACATGTAAATCAAAAACTATTCAGTGGATAAAGTCAAGAAATTGTAATGTTACAGGAGATAATTAAAGAAGACACCTTTCCAAGTTTTAGGTCTCTGCGCTTTCCCAAACATCAGATATTCGTCGAAATGCTTTGCGCAAATTCACAGCCTCCCTGGTACACCAATATGGCGGCCGGAAAATAGTGTAAACATCTGGAACTTTCTTTTGGCTTTCTAGTTGACTGTTTACCTGAACTGAATAAACAAGCATTTACATCTCTAGAGGTGATCCGCTTTGACCGGTCGGACTGGTCCAACCGAAATTTGCCGTTCCATTTTGACAAACCGGTTCATTGCCCTACCTCTCTTTGGTAGATTTCAATTATGTAGAAAATTCGGAAAAGGAATAAAAAAATATGGTAAGAGCCATTCCTTTTGGTTAGCCCGGTTTGATAGGAAAATGTCGTTCCAATTTTCCTCCACTGGTCTCTGACCGATCGCTCTGGCATGAAAAGCAACCCAAGTTTTCGATGCCGCCATCTTGGATTGTAACTGGTTGCATTGCTTACTCCCTCTGCAAATTTTTCTCCACCCGAACCCTCCACAGCTACCTAATCCAAGATGGCGGCCTAATAGGAAAATGTGCACTCGCGTGCCAAAAATAGGGAACTTAGGCAAACTACGACGGCGATGGCAACGAGAACGTCATCACACAAAAGCTTTAATGAGCAAAACAATATCTATGCACGTGCATTATAAATCTTCGCTTATTTCGTACCCTCCGAAAAAAACAACAAACAATGACCAAGTTCTGCAAGTGTGTGTAGAACGTGGGCTGCGACCGCAAATATTTCGTATCTCTTTTTGAATTAATCGCACTGAACAGAGTAAAATATAAATATTCCATTTTTACTGGACGTCGTCCCTGGGGACGCCGTCATCAGAGCTTAAGTTTCCTATTACACCTGCACTGCAGGTTAACATTTTGCCGCTATGGACACCAACTGGAGTAATGCACAGATTGACTTAGTATTCATAGAATTCTTTGAATCATCATAAGCGGCGAGGGGAGCAAGGGGGACTATGGCGCCCCAAACGAAAATTTTTCCCAACATTTTGGTGCCGAAAATGTCGATAGCGCAGTTTGACAAAATATTCCGTTTCCGTTTCTCTAACTAACAAAATTACTTTCACTTTCATTGCCCCTTTCCCTTCTTCCCCTGTTAACAAATTCAATTTATTTCATACACATGGCTAAATTACCACTATTAATAGGGTTTGCTGTTGGCTTGTTTCATCAGCCGGCGAATTAATAGTTCAGCTGGGATAGCATATGCGTGTTTAAAATATATTCCCAAAAGTCTTCACGCCCATTTGTGCCTCCTAAACTAAACTTTGGACTGAAATACAATTATCATTATCTTCATGTTTTCCTTTTTACTATTCTACGTGCCGTCACAATCCTCTTTTTAGGTTGTATTTACTCAGACTTTGAGTGTTACTTGGACCATTCACAACTAACAAAACTGTTACTAGATCAGGATTTCTGGGGGGCAAACCTCGTTCCAGGATTGGGAAAAAGACGGACCCTGCGAACGAAGTTTTTACGTCAAGCAGTGTTCCAATGTAGATAGGACTCTTGAACATCAAACTACATGTGTACAGGTTATTAGCTTGGGCCTTGGTAAAATGGGAACTGGGATTTCTTCACTATGACAATGGGATTTGTGTCACTGGGACTGGAAATCACAAACAAAATATATGGCAATGGTACTGGGTTTTGGGTATTTATAAACCCCTCCCCCCTCCCTCCCCCGCTCTTTAGAACGCTTTTTAAGAACTACAAAGGAATGCTTCAGCCTATAAATAGGGCAGGAAACTGGCCTCTTGTATCAGAGGTCCCGTTAGTTCTACCGTCCGAGGTACAGAAGAACACTCTTATACCCTGAGACTCAACAGATCTTTGTCCTTCTTGTCCAAACCATGACTGTGGACCCTTTATAAGCGACACTAACTTGTACTCCTTACTTTTCTCCAAACAAACTGGACGATCAAACTGTACATCAAAGCTGTAATAGGAATCGGTTTCGTCCTTAATAGAGGAGAAGACTCCAGATTGTTTTACCAGAGAGGAGCCATCAGTGCTATCTTTCACTTCTGTGGAAACTGTGTACTCTCCACCTTCAGA